CCCCTTGTACGAATAAGCAAACTGAGAGACTAAGAGACCAAAAAGATAATGAGTTAACCAAAAATCAGAAACTGGATTTTTTTTCATTTTGTGTTGGACTCCAAAATTTTCTGCACTACTTTCCAACTTCTACTGTTCTGTAGTCTCCAGGGACACCTCAAATCAACAGCCGTTGTTTCAAAGGTGTGTTGACGGTGTGATAGTTCTAGGATAGGCTAGATAATGGTCCCCCAGCGATGTCCACGTTCTTATCACTGAAGCCTGTAAATGTTACCCATATGGGACTGTGGCAGGAGATACTCCAAATTATCTGAGTTTACTTGATGTAATCAAAAGGATACATCTAAGGGGGATTGAGGAAGGTCAGAGAGGAAGAAGGTGATGTTATGATGAGGCAGCAGTTGGAGAGATGAACTTTAAAGATGGAGGCTGGGGCCATTGGCCAAAGAATATTGGCAGCCACTAGAAGCTGGGAAAGTCCAGGGAGTGTATTCTCTCTTGATTTTAGCCCAATAAGGCCTATATCAGGCTTCTGATCCCCAGAACTGTAAGATACTAAATACATTGTCTTAAGCCACCACATTTGTGGTAATTTGTTACAGCAGTGATAGGAAATCATACAAGCTCCTGTAAAATAACAAATCTTGCTTCATGCATCGTGTTAGCGTGTCAGGGGACAGCCCTGCCCAAGGTCCCATATTTAGAGAGTAATTGCTAGTACCTCTAGTGTTTCTTATCATCTAAGTCGTCCATGTGTTTTCATCTTCTGCTTCTTTAAAAAACAATTGCTTTGGGGAAATGGAAAGAGTACATCTTATGTTGCCTGTAGGTCAAGTTTGGAAATTCTTCCTCTGCTCAAGTCATCACTCAGCTGGGTTCCATTGTCCTTGTCTTACCAAAATTTGGTCAGCTTCATAAATTTCTCTAGCATCTAAGCAAAAAAGTACCTTGCACTGACCATCTCCAGGACACAATCCATCAAATTGACACTTTAAGTGTAGATCATATCTGGGGTCTCATGCTGCTTGACAATGCCCTTTAAACAGAGAACCCAAAAGGATGGGGCATAGGATTCATGGCTGAGGGACTGATAGCACAATCAGTGTAGAGATGACACTGGGCTGTCATAAATGCCTAGACCTCAAAACTCTTTTAAATTATAGAGACATAGATCCTCAAATGAAGAATCCCAAAACTTTTGAATTTACTGTCCCTTGAAAAGAAAGAGTAGATACGCCATAGGCATTGCTTTTAAAGCCATATTTTTATTGCATTTTAAATTTCTTTCATGCTAGTTAGTGCCCTTGAAACTTAATTTCATCATTTCTTATTTTATTCTTATTTACTTTGTGTGATGAATTTACCTAAAAATTAATGAGTAGTTTGACCAACTTGGTTGTCCTTTGACTTGAGAAGCTTATAATTTCAGTGAAATTCAAAACACTGGATAAGATTGAAAACAATATTCTACTTCTTTTATATGAAAGTCAGAAGGTGTAGGTCTTATTTGGTCCATTTGAATTGGCCTATGGCCTATATTCGGTTACAATGATGGAAAACACCACCAAAAGAGGAGGAAGACGTATGTTCAAATAATGTCATTCCATACTAAATGCACGAACGCAGCATTCTTCTTAAACTGGAATGTGTTTCCAGGACATTAGATGTTTAGCCTGCATTCAGATAACTTCCTGTGCAATTGCTTAACCTTTATTTCTATCTCTTTTGGAGGATTGTTTATGTGTTTTGACCAGGACTTTTATAATCTCAGTGAGAATATTTTTGCAGTATTTTGCATCTCCTCATAATTGTTGAGATGAAACAGAGTTTAAGTTTCTTTATTTGAATTACTTAAAAAAACCCAAAGAACACCTTTCAGTAGAAATATTGATTTAAATATTGCTGGAAAGTATGTATCAGATAAGAAGGAATACATTGAGACCTCAGTTAACATTGCTGATGGGTTCCTGGAAACTAAAAATTTAAGCAAAACAGTTTTTTTCCCTCATCAACGTTATAGCAAAATGGCATTGAATGAGATGACATTGTTTGAGGACCTGCTGTATGTCCTTTTGCTTAAAGTTGCCGTTGTGACCAGTAACTTACTGATGATGCTGAGTGAGGACTTACTGTAAAATGATATAATGTGGAAATACTATGTTCAGAAGTCAGTGAAATGTTAGGAGCCTTCTTATAAGTTTTCTTTCATTAAATCCCTAGGTAATGTTCTATTCTGGATGCTAGGGTTACCTGAAATACTTGCCAAGGAGAGTTTTACAATTGTTGTCTAACTGTGTGATTCAGCGTGAGAATTATAGTGCAAAATAACAAAAGCAAAGTCTACCATCAAGACTCCAAATCTTTGATTACAGTGATCAATGTCATATTGCTTTTGAAAAGAGTAACCTTTATTGGCCCTCTCTGTTAACGGGGCTACTTTGACATTTTGTCAAATTCTCAGAACCTCCTGGACAGCATGCCTGCAGTTAAGGTGAGCTGCTACTTGATGGCACTCATAAAATTCTGATTGTCTTAGGCTTGCCTTTCACTATTCACAGGCAACGTTCCAGAATTTTCAGACACATTGTACCCAGATACTTAGTGCCGTACCATAAGTGATTGTATTTCCTGCTGATCTGTGAGATCACTGAGGGCAAAAACTCTGTCCTTATTCTGTTTCCTCCTCCAACACACACGCACACAAATGTGTGCATTCAAACATGTGCATACAGATTCACACATGTTTGCACACACCCACTCACACACACACCCACACACCCTCCACCCCACCACATGCAACTATGGCCTTTTATGAGAGGAGTTAGAAATGGAAAATTTTAAAAGGACAGATGAATATTGTTATCAATAATGCCTTAGTTATCAAGGTATGCTTCATATAATCATAGTTAAATGTGACCATTAAATGAAAATTCTATTTAGAATAAGATGTAAAGGAAAATCTTTAGTCAATGAATAAGTCTTGATTTTCACTATTTCTATTGTTTCCTATTTCATTCCCTATAAATGCACTAGGTGAAGACTTACTGCAGTAAGCCTCAATGCCCTCATCTTAAGCGAGGATAATAGTACTTGTCTCATCCGATTGATCTGAGAATTACATGATGAAACATAGCACATACACCCTACTACACTTACTCATCCTTATCTAGCTACTGTTAAGACCAGACATTGCCAGCATGCTACATGCCAGGCATCGTTTTTATAACTTTATACATAAATGCATTTACTGCTTGCAACAATCCTATAATATGTCTTATTTATTACCATTTATCATGTGAGGAAACTAAGTTATAGAGGGGTAAAATAATTTGTCTAAGGTCACATGGCTGACGCACACTCAGAAATGTTATTTACCATTATTCTTCATGTTATTATTTGCAATAGTAGTGAGGTTTGCAGTTTTTCCTTGGAGTCTTACTGGGAATCAGCAAAGGGTTATCTTTCACATGAAGGTAGCTGCATCTGACCTTTCACTAGTGCTATGCTTGCAGATTTTGCTCAGTAGGATTTTGCTAATTAACCACGTGCAGAGATATTGCATGCCTCTCCTGAAGGCTTGCTTGCTCATGGCTTCTTCTTTCTGGTGCCTTCACCCATCTTTCCCGGTGGTTGGGAGCTCCTCAGGAACATCTAGAGACAGTCAATGCCTTTTTGCTTATTTAGAGGAATCAGAATGGTGAGGTTGTGTAGAGAAATCAGAAGTGAGGCAGGATGCTCAGTGTGGGCTGATATCTGTGTATGCAGGTATTGGACTTCACTACCCAGTGCATTGGGTGGGAGGTACCAGCTGGATGGACAGTGACACTGGCCCAGCAGGAGTCACTTGGAGAGGGGCCAGGGCCAGGGACCAATATCTCTATGGATATGTTTAGAGGAAGGGGTGATGGAAGCTCCTGTACAGATGATGCCAAGGGAGAGAGTGGCAATGCACAGTGCCTAACTTGGTGCATGGCCCACAGAGGATGTTCAGGAAACCTTGGCTAACCACATGAATAACAGAAGACTTACTGCATGCTTCCAGAGTCTATGCCTGGCACTTTACAGCCATCATCTACTCAACGTTAGGCACTGTGATCATCATCTCTGTTTTATTAATACAACAAGGCAGCCAACACTCTGGGTGGTGCAGTCCTATGCCTGCAGACACAGAGCTGGTCCACATCTTGCCAAGAGTGGAGCTCTAGCAGTTAGGACTGTGCTGCTGCAAGGCTATGTCTCTTTGACTTTTATACTTCTTGTGCATTGCCCAGTGTTTATTTTAGAGATTCTCTTTCCGTCACTCCATAAATCCCTGCCAGCGATCCAGGTGCAGCTCAAGGGCCTCGATGTCTCCAACCCACCTCATTTCCCTTTGTGTCGGCTCACACTTCTGCTTTCTCATCTTAATTTTGCTACTTTAGTCATAGTCTTTGGCTTTGAATAAATTGAGGTTAGACTTCTGCCTCCACTACTAACCAAGAAATGACTTCAAGCAAGTTATTTAATTAACTACCTTAGTGACATCATATATCACAGCCCATGGAAAGCACACATTTAATGGGGATTTTTATGCATGAGATCCCATCTACTGTGAGTAAACTGAGCACTGCAATTTTATTGTCTGATTCACCTCTGAATTCCTAAGATGCTGGTACAGTGAGTCACAAACTTAAGTTGAATTGGATACACTGTGTTACTATCTGTCCCCTCCCTGCCTGCCACTGCCTATGCATTTGACCAGCCTCCACTAGCCAGTGAGGGTCTGGGAGTTCACAGCCAAGTTTCGTTCATCTTTGCATTCTATGGGTAGCCTGTTTTGCTGAGACCTAAGTAGTCTTAGAGTTATGCCAATTAAATGGATGACAAAGTGAAACATATAGGGTGTGTTTGGCATATGTTGTCACAATAGATTAGGCAATTGAGGCAGTAGAAAAGAAATGCGATGTGTATAGAAACATAAAATAATACATGGCTTTTTTTTTTTTTTTTTTCCCCAAAAGGTGTTTTTGATGCTTTTGCAAGATTCCAACAAGAAATCTCACGTTGCCCTGGGGACTGAGTCAGAGCTGCAGAACCACAGGCCTGCAGGACATCTCCCTGGCTACTGTAAGTACAGAATGGCTTCCTGCATTTCTGCTGGAGGAACAATGACACCAGCCTTATTCAACATCCCTTGTTTTAAAAGTTGAATAGCAAGGTTCTGAAGTTAGTGAGGAGATGTGAGCGTATAGTGAGGGGGCAAGTACATACAGGTCAGAGGCAAAGAACTTTGAGTTTTATCTTGGCTTGAAAAAAAACAACTGTGTGTTTATGGGACACATTTATCTTTTCTTCAGGACTTCACTTAGTATATAAAAAATTTCTCAATGTATACAGTTAGAGTAATGACCACCATTCATCTTCTTTTACTTTCATCACAAACTGGTCTGGCCTACCTGCGTGGTGTGCCTCTTATGTGCAGGCACCCTTCTGATAATGGATTTGCACGGCTTAACAAAGCCCCGGATGTGGGCTTTGCCTTCATGCAACCTCTGTCCATTTGGGACCAAATCATGGCTTCAGCATTTGTATGCAGCCTCCTTTATAGGCTTTAATGATTGAACAGAATCTCGATTTGGTGTCTAGGTGTGTGACTGAAGCTCCAGTTCAATCCAATTCCTGGCATATTTATTAGCAGCAACTCAGCAAGGATCGCTGAGCTGAGCTCTAGGGATGTGGAGGGTAATAAATCTAAGGCCTTCCTTCAGAGATTTCAGTCCGCCAGGCACATGAACTCATGAATAAATAACTAGAATTAAATATGTTATAACCTTTTATGATGTTTCCCAAATTGCATCCTCCTGACAACTGTAGGAATTGCTATTGCTGTACTTCCTCTTTAGCTCTTAGTAGTATCAGATTTGAAAAACATACAATTTAGCCATTAAAATAGATGTGTAGTAGTTTCTCGTTGTGGTTTTAATTTGCATTCTCCTAATGATTATGTTAAGCATATCTTTTTCTTTCCCACAGTTTTATTGAGAGATAATTCACATAACACAATTCACTCATTTAAACAGGACCATTCAGTGGCTTTTGCTTTCTTCAGAGTTCTGCATTCGTCACCACAATCAACCTTAGACCATTTTCATTACTCTGAAAACTGGTGTCACTTAGCAATCACTCCTCAAAATCCCCATCCCTTCAGCCATACGCAACCCCTAATGTACTTTCAATCTCTAATAGATGTGCCTATTTTGGACAATTTATACACATGGAATTGTAGTATGTGTGGCCCTCTGTGACTAGCTTCTTTCACTCAGCACAATGTTTTTGAGGTTCATCCATGTTACAGTATGCCAGTACTCAATTTATTTTGATTACCAAATATTTCATTGTATAAATATATCACATTTTTGTTTGTCCATTCACCAGTTGATGGGCATTTGGGGTTATTTCCAGTTTTTTGCTATTGCAAATATACTATTATGAACATTCATATACACATTTTTTGTGGATATGTTTTCTCTTACACATATACCTAGGAGTGAAATTGCTGAATTATGTTTCACTCATTTGTGAAACTGCTACCCTGTCATCTAAAAGTGATCACATCTTACATTCCAACCATTAGTATATGAAGGTTCTAATTTCTCCACATTCTCCCAACCTTTTTTATTATCTGCTGTTTTGACTATAGACACCTTAGTGGATGTGACACACGCCTTAGTGTGTATCTCATTGTGGATTTTATTTACATTTCACTGATGGCTAATGATGTTGAATATCTTTTCATAGGCTTCATGGCCATTTGTATGTTTTCTTTGGAGAAATCCATATTCAGATTTTTTTGTCCATTATTAAAATTGGGCAGATTTTATTTCTAGAGTTGGAAGAATTTCTAATTATGGAATTGTGTGAGTTAAGTGGAATGGTAACTAGGTTTTCATAAACGCCCTTTATGAAGTTGAAGAAGTTTCTGTCTATTCCTAATTGTGGAGTGTTTTTAATCATGAAAGGTGTTGGATATTGCCAAATGCTTTCTCTGCATCTAGTGAGATGATCATATGTTTTTTGTTTATGTATTTATTTATATGGTATATTTTTTATTTTTGGTAGTTAAAACAACATTACATTCCTGGGATAAATTCTACCTGGTCATGTCATATATTGCTGGATTTTATTGTGCTAGTATCTTGTTGAACATTTTTGTATCTTTATGGCAGGTATTGGTCTGCAATTTTCTTTTCTTGCAATGTCTTTGTCTGGTGCTGTTATGATGGTTATCTTCACCTCACAGAATGAGTTGAGAGGTGATCTCTTCTCTTCTATTTTCTGGACATGTTTGTGAATAATTGGTATTAGCTCTTCTTTAAATGTTTTGTAGAATTCACCAGTGAAGGCTTCTAGGCTTGGGCTTTTCTTTGTGGGTAGGTTTTTTGATTATTATTAATTCAATTATTTAATTGATGTAGGGCTATTAGATTGTCTATATTTTTTTCAAATCAGTTTCAGTGTTTTGTGTCTTTCCAGGAATCTGTCCATTTCATTTCAGTCAATATACTGTTTTATGTTGTTGGCGTACAATTGTTCATAGTAATCAGTTATAATTTCTTTTATTTTTTTAAAAGTCTGTAGTGATGTTTGCCAGGTGCGATGGCTCATGCCTGTAATCCCAGCACTTTGGGAGGCCAAGCTGGGTGAATCATGAGGTCAGGAGATCAAGACCAGCATGGCCAACATGTTGAAACCCCGTCTCCACTAAAAATACAAAAAATTAGCTTAGCATGGTGGCAGGCGCCTATAATCTCAGTTACTTGGAAGACTGAGGCAGAGAATTGCTTGGACCCGGGAGGCAGAGGTTGCAGTGAGCCGAGATTGTGCCACTGCACTCTAGCCTGGACAAGAGAGCAAGACTCTGTTTAAAAAAAAAAAAAAAAAAAGTCTGTAGTGATGTTTCACCTTTCATTTCCACTTCTAATAATTTGAGTCTTCTCTGTTTTCTTGGTTAATCTAGCTGAAGTGTTGTCAATTTTTGTAATGTTTTCACAGAATCAGCTTTTGGTTTTATTGATTTTTCTCTTTTCAATTTCATGAAATTCAGCTCTAATTTTTATTATTTTGTTTCTTTTGCTTACTTTATATTTAGTTTGCTCTGTTTTTCCAGTGTCTTCAGGTGGAAGTTTGTATTATTAATTTGAGATCTGTTTTTTATAATAATAAGCATTTACTGTTACAAATTTTTCTCTAAGCATTGCTTCAGCTGTATCCTGTAAGTTTTGATGTGTTGTATCTTCATTTTTCTTTCATCTCAAAGTATTTTTTAACTTCTCTTTTAATTTCTTTCATTTTTTATTTAGGTTGTGTTGATTTCCACATATTTGTGAGTTTCTAAATTCCTTTTTGTTATTAAAGTCCAATTTAATTTTATTGTGACCTGAAGAAAACCAGAATGGGTTCATATTTTTAGCAGAGATGGGGTTTCACCATGTTGGCCAGGTTGGTCTCAAACTTCTGACCATTGGAGGCGGAGGTTGCAGTGAGCCTATATTGTGCCACTGCACTCCAGCCTGGGCAACAGAGGGAGATTCCATCTCAAACAACAATGACAACAACAACAACAACTAATTTCTTTTCAATTTATTAAGGCTTGTTTTATGGTCTGTGCTGGAGAAAGTTCCATGTACCCTTGAAAATAATGTTCATCTGTTGTGATAGGTGGTGTGTTCTATAGACATCTGTAATATTTAGTTTGTGTGTAGTGGTTGTTCAAGTCTTTTATTTTCTTGTTGATATTCTTGTAAATTATTTTATCTGTTAATAAAATTTGGGTATTGATATTTCTGATTATTATTGTAGAATTGCCTATTTCTCCTTTTATGTCTGTTGACTTCTGTTTTTACGTCTTTGGGGACTCTGTTAGGTACATAAATCATCACAATTTTATATCTTCCAGATGTAAGGCTTCTTTCATATCTTTTATAGCCTTCTTTCCTTCTTGTAATCTTCCTGGTCTTTTTAGACAGTGCTAGCACTATACCTGATGAAGCAATTTTCGCAAAAATCTTTGTGAAACTTTCTTAGGTTTCAGTAATATGCATCCATTAGACAAAAGCCAGGTGGTTTTGAAATAACCTCTTCTCTATTTTTTGGCTTCTGCATAGATGGCAGAGGGAACCACACCACAAAGCTTCCTAGAGGTCCTCTGGTTTGGTTGAGTAGACCTGTGAGACACACTTGATCTTTTAAAAAATTTTTTAATTTTATGTATGTAACAAACCTGCCCATTGTGCACATGTACTCTAGAACTTAATGTATAATAATAATAAAAAAAAATCTATATACATTATAAATAACCCAGTTAAAAAATGATCAAACAACCTGAAGAGACATTTCTCTAAAGAAGACATGCAAATGGCCAACAGATATATGAAAAAATACTAAATTAATAGTCAACAGAGAAATGCAAATGAAAACCACAATGAGATATAACCTTATATCTGTTAGAATAATTAATATTAAAAAGACAAAAGATAACACATGCTGGGGAGGTTGTCAAGAAAAAGGAATTCTTCCACACTGTTGGTGGGAATGTAAATAAGTATAGCCATGATAGAAAATAGTATAAAAGTTCTTTAAAAAATTAAAAATAAAACCACCATATGATCAAGGAATCCCATTACTTGGTATATATCCAAGGAAATGAAATCAGTATATTAAAGAAATATCTATACTCTGATGTTTATTGCAGCACCATTCATAATAGTCAAGACATGGAATCAACCTAAGTGTTCATCAATGGGTGAATGGGTAAAGAAAATATGGCCTATGTACATAATAGAATACTATTCAGTCTTAAAAAAGAAGCAAATTCTGTCATTTGTGACAACATGGATGAACCTGGAGAACATTATTTTAAGTGAAATAAGCTAAGAACAGAAAGGCAAATGCTACATGATCTCACATATATGCAGAATTTTTAAAAGTTGAAGTCACAGAAATAGAGTAGAATTGTGGTTACTAGGGGCTGGGAGGGGATGTGGTGGGGAGATGTTGGTAAATGGATACAATATTTCAGTTATATAGGAGAAGTAAGTTCAAGAGATCTATTGTACAACATGGTGACT